GGTTTAGTTCGAACCGCGGTAATCAGAAAATCGATAGGGCCGGTTACTCGAACGATTTTGTTGCAACCATAGTATGCTGGTTTCGATTTGGCTCAATGAATTATAGTTGTATGCAATCAATTGACTTACTTGTTGCGGATTTGAGAACCCCAAATTACTCGACAATATACGTTAATCCGTTAACGAGTCATCTACGAAAAACAAACAGAAAAATCGAACGCTCAATCATTACTTCAAATCTGGAAAGGTGTTTCATTTTGGACCTCTTGAGCTGCAGTTGATGAATAAGCAAACTGAGACCCACTAGCGAGTAACAACTATCCGGATAATTGCGACTGCATACAGGAGAACTACCGTCAAATGGCATGCTGAGCTCTGAAGATTTTTTTTTTTACAAGATGTTGATTACTGAAATTATCTGGTATTGTCAGTTGACGTCATCCAAGCGTTAATATGAGCTAATGACGGCAGGTTAATAGCAAAGTAATAAGAGGACAACCCCCAGATCCTCAACGCTCAAATCGACCCACTCCCCTTGATATTTGACCAAGATATATCATTTGTTAGCCTTGCTACCCAATTATAGACCACAATTTCCGAACCCCGTTCTACTCTACTCATCTACCCGACCTCGTCAACCCATCGCTTCGATCATTCCCCTTTCGTTATAGCCCCTCATTCACCATCATAGTCTAGTTTCGTCAGTGGGTTATATTGTAAGTTACGTGTCAATTTCAAGAGGGGGGAGTAGGGGTGGCAGTGGGAGCATGACATATTTGGCTGGTATGACCATCAAACACTTGGGTATACACAAACACACACACACACACACACACACACACACACACACACACACACACACACACACACACACACACACACACACACACACACACACACACACACACACACACACACACACACACACACACACACACACACACACACACACACACACACACACACACACACACACACACACACACACACACACACACACACACACACACACACACACACACACACACACACACACACACACACACACACACACACACACACACACACACACACACACACACACACACACACACACACACACACACACACACACACACACACACACACACACACACACACACACACACACACACACACACACACACACACACACACACACACACACACACACACACACACACACACACACACACACACACACACACACACACACACACACACACACACACACACACACACACACACACACACACACACACACACACACACACACACACACACACACACACACACACACACACACACACACACACACACACACACACACACACACACACACACACACACACACACACACACACACACACACACACACACACACACACACACACACACACACACACACACACACACACACACACACACACACACACACACACACACACACACACACACACACACACACACACACACACACACACACACACACACACACACACACACACACACACACACACACACACACACACACACACGAAAATCAACTTCGCAAAGGGAACCAAACGCTAACGGCTACAAAATGAATGCTTGGAACGGCCTGAAGAGCGCGCAAAATAATGCTGAAGGCGGAAATTTACTTGCAGGTGAACATTTACCGAGATATTTGGATCAATTGACATATTCAGATTTAATGTTAGTGCGCCAAAAATAAAGCATTCAATAGGCTGGAGAATCTAAGGCCGCCGAATGACCGGCGACGCCCTGCCGGACTTACATGATAGCAGTTCGTCGGTTTCAGCACCGGACTGGCACCCACGCTGACAAATCGGCAACCGCGTCGCACCGCATCGGCCGAAGCGGGTGTTCACAGGCAGAGTCACACAGAGCGAGTGTCTCAACGTCCGGGACAAATGTCCCGGACCGGATGGTCCTGCGACCCACACGGCACCAATAGTAGAGTCCGGTGACGAGGTTCGAGTGTCCAACCAGAGAGTGTGTGTAAGTGTCTTGACGTCCGGGACGAATGTCCCGGACCGAATGGTCCGGCGACCCACGCGGTGTACCGCCACCAGTAGAGTCCAGTGACGAGTGTCCGACTGAGAGACAGAGTGTGTGCGCGCTCGTGTCGCCGCTGCTTTTATATGGAGCAGCGAAGCGCATCGAGAATCGATCGGTCCACATGGTTCGGAGATAGGGCAGTGTGTTACATGAAATTCGGTTCGAAAGAAAGTACGGCGTGTCACATCAGAAACAACCTTGGAAAAATTCCGTCCTCGGAATTTCGAACAAAAAGGTGATGACATCGATATCGAAAGAAAGTACGGCGTGTCACAATAGATGAGTCGATGATGCGAGTGACGTTTGCGAGGTCACGCTCGGCGATCAACTCGTCTACGGTGGGCCACCCCAGTTCCCGTAGCGCCGCAGTCACGTGATCGCGCCGTCTAAGACCTCTAACAATACGCGCACCAAAGTTAATAGCTTTCTGGATGCGACGCTTCTGTGTGACCGTACAGCTTCCCCACACGCTTAAACAGAAACGTATGTGGGGAAATACTAGAGCTTCGATCATCAGCTGTCTTGTGCATCTCGGTAGCTTATGCCGGATCCTGGCCAGGCACACCAGCACGCAAAAGCACTTACGAACAACACCAGTGATGTGTTCATCCCAAATCAGGTGAGAATCGATGACGACCCCCAGAACCCTGACACTGTGGTTTGGTTTGAGCTCATCGTTTCCAAAATGAATCGAGAATGTTGAATCAAGATTTTGACGTCTAGATTTAATTATTATCAGTTCAGTTTTAGCTGGGTTAATTTTCAGACGATTTTGGGTGAACCATCTCAGTCCAACTGAGAGAGAAGTTTCGATGCGATCCTTCAAGTTTTGCAAGTTTGTATAAGAGTCAGTGTCAAGGAACTGGGTGTCGTCAGCGTACATGACTAATTTACCATGTGGAATGTGCTGAGGTAAATCATTGGTGAAAATCAAAAACAAAATCGGCCCCAAAATCGAACCCTGGATCACGCCATGAGACACGTTCATAGCAATTGATCCACCTCTCACACACTGTGTGCGTCCTCTCAGCCAGGCCGAGAACCATCCGGAGTCAATCCCGTACCAACCGAGTTTGTCCAGGAGACGGCCATGCTCAACGCTGTCAAAGGCCTTCGACGTATCAGCGGTGACAAGTGACGTCACGCGGCCGCTATCGATGTTCGTCACCGCGTACGTAACAGCATCGAGCAGGGCCGCCTCCGTGGACAAACCCTGCCGGAACCCGTACTGCTGGGGGCACAGGATGTGGTGCTCGCTTAAATACGTCACTAGCTGGGAGCAAACAACTCTTTCGCACAGCTTGGCGACAACAGGCAACACTGATATGGGTCTGTAATTGTTTGGGTCGCTAATGTCACCCTTCTTGTGAAGCGCAGTCACAGTGGCGGCCTTCCATGACACAGGTACGTCACAACTAACAATAGAACTGTTGACTAGCGCCAGAAGCTTGGGGCCGATCACTGGGAACGTTTCACGTGTTATGGGTTCGGTATTGCTTCGTACTGACGGTAAATTTGTTAGAAATTATCATCCACACATGTTCCACTTTCTATTTCAACATCATCGTTTTTCACTAGCTGTCACAGCAGCTGTTTGTTCGTTTTTACAGGCGCTCGTGTTTATCCGCGGGCTAATCCTCATTAAAGTCCTTCATTAGACAGATTATCTACAACAATATCCCCCACAGACAAAGTTTCCGCCCCGGAAACTGATCAACCTCTGCATGGCCCGCGGACATTGATGTACCAGGTAAGACGGTACACTTTAGCACTTTACACATATGTACATTCATACATGAGCAATGAACACTTCAAACCATTAGGCATTACCTATGAACACAAAATGTACACGCCACTTCTGTCATACATCACCACTTAAAACAGGATGGAGATTACGTTTCACATAACAATACCATATTCACTTCAAGCCGAATCATCTCATATGAGGTCTTAATGACTAGTGGTACCTAATGGGGTGTCTGACAGTTCGACCCGCTCTCGTGATTATCGACTTTGGCACATTTGGAGTCGCCTGAGTGACCAGGTCCTGCTGCCCAGAGGACTTGTCTTGCCGCGGCGCTTTGTCGCCATGTGGCCTTACGTGTTTGTCAGCTGACTGGGGATCAGGCCCGGTCTCGGTCTCGGTCTCTTTTCGACAGCTGGGCTGGTCTGAGCCCGATACAATCCAGCCGGGTGAGACTGGACAGACGCATCAGCCCGCTCGAATGCACGGACGTGCTCCACAGCGGCGTCCAACGTTGTGATTCTGGCCCTCGTAAGATCTCGCTGATACTCCGGGGGTAGCACTTTCTGGAGATGGATCCAAGTCAGCTGATCCTTAGTAGCCTTGTCTGAAACGGTGGGGTAGGCGTACTGTACTAGATCCTCAATAGCGAGCAGGGTTTTCATCACATTTCCTTCATAAGCCACCGAATCTAGGCGGTGGATGGCCACCATGGTGATCTGGTATCCCTCCCAGTAGCTTCACCACTTCGGCGGAGATCGAGTCGAGTGTGGCTGCCGGGCACGCTGCACACACGTGTCGGACACATTCCTTTACATTACCAGAAACAAAGAAACGCAAGTTTGTCACAAGTTTGTCGGTATTCCACTTCTTCATCTGACCAAACAAACAGTAGTCCTCCAGCCATGATATCCAATCTTGTGCACTGCCGTTCTCAAACTTCTCCAGAACCAAATGGTCCGACATTTATCCCACCGCTGCCACCACTGTTATGGGTTCGGTATTGCTTCGTACTGACGGTAAATTTGTTAGAAATTATCATCCACACATGTTCCACTTTCTATTTCAACATCATCGTTTTTCACTAGCTGTCACAGCAGCTGTTTGTTCGTTTTTACAGGCGCTCGTGTTTATCCGCGGGCTAATCCTCATTAAAGTCCTTCATTAGACAGATTATCTACAACACACGCAACATGTGCACAGTGATGCCGTCTGATCCGCATGCCCGCGAGGATCCCAACCGCTGGAGCGCCGCAGAAAGCTCGGGGAGAGTGGCGGCCCGCGGTCTGAATGCACCCGAGCACACACGTGGCGGACGGGGTGTCAGTCTGTCCCCGGTGTCCTCCGCGGCCAGGGCGTCAGCCACGTCAGGGCCGACTGACGCGAAGAATCGGTTCAGTCGATCTGGCCACCCGTTGTCTGCAGCATTCAGGTCGGTAGTCCTCGGTTCGGCCTTCTTTGATGCAATCAAAAACTGTCTGATGCTCTTCCGCGTTTTGGGTCGCGAGTTTCTGTACAGAGAGGCATAGTGGGAGGCGCAGGCTCGATTAATGGCCACTTTGACGGCGTTACGGCATTGCCGAAACTCTCGGTCAGTGTCATCGCACGTGATGGTGTCTCTGTCGATCCGCGCTTGGTCTCGAGCCGCCATCGCGTCTGTCACAGCATCATCATCCATCCAGGGGCGGTGTCGATGCTTCATTTTGACGGTCCTCATCGGCGTGTGCTGGTTAATCACCGGGTCCCACACGCGTTGAAAGCCGTTCCATTTGTCGGTTATGGAGTCGGCACGGTCGACCTCCGCCCAGTCCACCAGCAGCAGGTCGAGGCAGAGGGCAGCAGTGTCGACACGGCGCGTGGACCGCACGGTGCATGTGACGGGCACATGTCGTGTCTTGGTGTTGGTGATCGAAGCAGTGATAAGGTCGTGGTCGCTAACGTTACAAGGTATGACCCGGGCATTGGAGGTCAGGTCCGGTCTGTTCGTTATAAGGTGGTCGAGAATAGACGGCGACTCTCCGGGGTGGGTCGGCTCGGTTATCAGCTGATGCAGAGAGAGTTCGGCAAGCTGCTGAAGGTATGTTAATTATATACTAAATATTACTAAATACTACATTGTACTACACATACTACAATACTAAATACACATACTAAATATTATACATTGTTAACGTTACTGCCGATTGCGTAACCCAATGTCTCAGAATCCCGATGATGCCCACCTGGTCAAACCTCAACCGATATGCCAAATAGCTACTGATAATGGTGATGCGATTGCACCCGAGAAGACTTAAACCACCATCTACTTGAAGTGCATCGAACGTTCGACATGAGCAACACCGATGAATCGGTCGTGGTCATAAACGTGCAGTGGGTTCATGGTAAGTACTTTTAGCAGCAAGCAATATTTACATGTTCGTAGTGTAACATAATGACCCTTTAGCTGGTGACCAAACTAGTTATTCTGATGAATATGTGCTTAAAATGTGCTTCATCAGTCACTGACTTAGTCGACAATCAACACATGTCTACTTTGGTTGACCAAAAAACACCATTGAAGATTACTTAACACATGAACGTACTGTTAGGTGAGCCTATGCAAGTAGGCTTGATGCGGTAGGGTAACCGGCCAATTGATACAGCATGCAGCGATCAAGGAAAATCGTCATAAAATCAAAACCGCTTAACATTTTTCTGTTATTTCTTCGCATGAAGATGTGCAACGGAACAAGGAATCATGCAGACCATTCACTTAAATGTTTTGGGAAACCTTTAAGCTCGTTTGATTCGTTACGGTGTGCTTCATTAGGTAGCGAGCCTGTCTCAAATAGCCCCACCGACTTTCAGTGTGTCTGTTTTCAGGCCACCAGGGCTATATACAAAAACTTTCTTTCAAAATTTTACTGTTGTTGACTTTAAAATAGTCCTTGATGATCATCCTGCAAATTTGAAAGTTAAGTGTCACATCATATTATGATAGCCTTAGCATATAGTGATGCAATTTTATAACCTACCGAAATGAAGCATCCTACGAAAAAGGAAAAGATTGAATATAAAGGAAATATAACTGTCTTTGCAAAAACAATTTTTGCCAGAATGATCAAAATTTAATTTCCAATCGCATGGCATTTAAAAAATTATCTCTAGCGTGACCGATTTTCACCAATTTCTTCGTATCTAAAACTGTCTCAAATAGCCCCACCCTATGGGGCTATTTGAGACAGGCTTTAACTAAAAAAATATCCTTAATCATTATTAGTAGCTGTACAAAAATGCACCTATATGAAAGAGCTTACGGAGAACTACATTTTTGCAATTTACATGCTATAAGAAATATGAACCGTCTTAAAGGGAGAGGCCAAAAACTATAAAATCCGTTTCAAATAGCCCCACATTACGGTATGTCAGCCCTGTCACCAGCTTATGACTGCTCTGCTTGTAGTGCCCCTGACCGTCATCGACTCCCTTCCCTCCTTAAAAGCCTAGTTTCCCTCCATCATATAACTATTCTATTTGCGTCGGTTTGCGGGTTTTTTGAAGTGCTCAGTTTTTGCAGCGAGCTTTTTCTCTTAGGGCTTGCGAGATAGCCGCGGAACCACATATCTCTTAACCCGCGCCCCACTGGGGGGGGGGGGGCTATTTATAGCCCCCCCTCCCGTTTTTCGGCAATAACTTCCAAACCGCTTGACGTATCGACGCCAAACTTTCAGTACCTTAGGCTGCATCAATTTGACACCATGTGTCAAAATTTGAACTTCGTAGCTACCATAGGTCGGCCGGAAATGACGTCAGAGTGACGTCATGTTCGGCCGATTTCGACGCAAAACATTGAACCACGGCAATCGCTCCCAAGGGCTCAGTTTTTAAGCTAGATCCAATTTCTTTGCATGGGAGGACTCAGAATAGACTGCGCTATCAAACTGCTATCTCGGATTTTCAAAATTTTGAAAATTTTGAAAATTTTGTAAAATAAAATTCAAAATTTACATTTTTACATTTTTTCCAAAAAGCTTTTTACTTTTCGAAAAAACCGGAATATATGTGATAGAACGCATTATTATGACTAACTCTAGCAAGTTTTAGCTAAATATATTCAAAAATGGCCAAGTTTTACGCATTATTGCAAAAAATTCACAATTATTAATTTTTCAAATCAATTTTTCAGCACGTATTTGACATCGTACGCCAATATAAATAGCACCATCGTGTTCCTGAGCTCAAACTGCATCCAATAGACACCTTTTTTGCTTAAAAATTTTAACTTCAAAATTTGACCTTTTTTGACCTGAAAGTGACCTGACCTAAGCTAAATTCGACTCAAAATGACCTCGAATGACACAAACGACATCAAATTCGAAATCTCTGACCTAAATGGACCATAAAACATGTGTCACGTGACCGACGCATGATATAATATTTTCGTGACCTGTGATGACCTGACCTTGACCTGAAAATCAAAGTACAAGTTTGGTACCCTCAGGGTAACAAGAACATCTGTTCCCGAGTGTGTGATCCAAAAATGAGCCTGATCTGACTTGTAAGACAGCGGCCAGAGCCCAAAACGTGAACAAGCCAAAATGCTAATAATTTTTACTTTGACCTGACCTGTGACGTCATCGGTGACCTCGAGGTCAATGAAATTAGGTTTCGCTCGACAGTTTTTCCGGGGCTATCAGACGCCGTTTGAATTTTGACGATCGGCCCAGTAGTTTCGGAGTTAGGAGGGGGGGGGGGCTATGAATAGCCCCCCCCCCCCCCAGTAGGGCGTGTTATACGCAGACCCCAGTGGGGCGCGGGTTAAGCATTGGCTTCAGACACAGGAATGCGGCTGATTCACGTGCGATTGTGAGTGAGGTACCCCCAGTGTGAAAATTCGGCTGTAGAATTGTACTGTCTCGCAGTACCTATATTTAACGAACGAATAACAATACAAAAGAATAACGTAAGCGCAGCTCCGCGCGGCTCAAGCGTCAGCGGGCGACTCCCGCTCCGCGAGCCGGTCGTACCCGGATCGTGTCACCACCAGGCGGCAGCACTGGTCCTGTGACCCGACCTCACGTGACATTACGACACCACATTCTCCTCCCCTTAACAGGACAGAAACGATAGCCCTCTCTACGTCTCACTAACGATAGTCCTCAACACGTCTCACTGAACGATAGTCCTCTACACTCATCACTCACACTCACTCATCAAATCCGTAACGAACCGGACGTCGCACCTCGCGTCCGTACCGGGTTCTCAGCGTCGGCGACAGCGGCTGATCGGCGTCAGGTGCGGCCGGCTGCTCGGGCTGCGGCAGCTCGCTGTTCGTCTCAGCATGGCCGCGCTCAGTCTGCCTGCCATCGGCCGCCGTCTCGCCAGCTGCCTGCTGCTCCGGCTGGCTGTCGATCCGCTGCTGCGGCTGCTCGTCACGGCTGTCGGTGACCGCTCCGCCGCCGCTGGTCAACCGATCCGCGTGCACCCTCGTTCCGTCGTCGAGCACGTAGCTCGCTGGTCCCCGTCGCTCGAGCACCTTCTTCACGCGCGAGAAGCGGGGCCTGCCCTTGCGCGACTGAGGCGGAAGACGATGCCGCACCCGGTCTTCGATCTCGAAGTCCGGCTTCTTCACTCGATGCGTTTTGTCGAAGTACCTCTTCTGATACGCCTGCTTCTCCACCCGACTGTGCAGCTCTCCGGGTCTCTCGGGAAGCCGTCCACCGACGTCCACCGCCGCGCTGAGCTTGCCTCTCATCGGCCTGCCGTGAAGCAGCTCTGCAGGTGTGCGTCCGGTCGTCGCCTGCACCGTGCTCCGGTACGCGAACAGGAACGCCTGCAGACATTCCGCTCTGTCAGCCTTCTGCAGGTCAGCCGTCTGAAGTGCAGCCTTGATGGACTTGTTTGCTCTCTCCACCAGGCCGGATGACTGCGGATGATACGGTGAGATCAGCACATGAGTGACGCCCACACTTCGCAGGTACGATGCAAATCGATCAGACGTGAACGCTGATCCACAGTCAGATACGACCTCCTTGGGATAGCCCTCACGACATGCCAACTTCTCAAGAAACCGAACAACAACTTCAGACGTGGGGTGCTCACAAAACCCTACTTCTATCCATTTTGAGTGATAGTCAATGGCCACAATCGCAAATCGCTGTCCAAATCGGCCACCCGCCATGGGACCAATAAAATCGAGGCCCAGCTTTGCCCATGGCTCGTCAGGGAACGGTACAGGCTGCAGCGGCGCGCACCTCGGTGACGCTGTCTTGTCTGCTAGCGAGCAGACACTGCAGTTTCTCACCTGTTCTTCCACCGCCCTGTCCATCCCTGGCCACCAGTAGAGGTCTCGTAGCCTCTGTTTCGTCCGTACCATACCCTGGTGCCCCTCGTGGGCCAGCTCCACCAGCCTGGTACGGAGAGCAGTCGGTACCAGCACTCGTCCTCCTCGCAGGATGATGTCGTCGACGACGGCGAGCTCGTCCCTGCAGCGAAAGAACGGTTGCAGCTCTGGCACGCACTGACTGAAGCGTCGGGGCCACGCACGGGGTATCTGATCTCTCAGCTTACCGAGCACGTGGTCAGCTCGGGACTCCGCCTTCAGCTCGTCAGCGCTCACCGCCGCTGTCTCCTCGCTGAGAGCGGCGACCACCAGCTGCTCGTCCTCGGACACCACCTCCACCGGTGCCGGCAGACGCGACAGGCCGTCTGCTGGGTTGATGCTGCCCTTGACGTGCTGTACCGAAAAAGAATACTCCATCAGACGGCACGCCCAGCGAGAAATCCGCATCCCCGCTCGGCCAACACCACGTGACGTCATCAGTGTTTTGAGAGCCTGGTGATCCGTTCTGAGTACAAATTCCCTGCCCCACAGGTATTTGTGCCACTTCTCCACTGACCAGACACAAGCCAGTGCCTCCCGCTCAGTGACGCTGTACTGACGCTGGGCCTGTGACAGTGTGCTGGACGCAAAAGCGACCACGCGCTCACCTTCAGGGTGCGTCTGAGTGAGTACTGCACCGATACCGACGTCACTGGCGTCCGTTGTCACCGTCGTTGGCAGACTCGGGTCGAACATCGCCAGTGCTGAGCTCGTCAGGATCGCTTCCTTCACGTCCTCGAAGGCAGACTGCATCTCGGCCGTCCACTTGAAGGGTGGTGCGCCCTTCCTCAGCGGCCGCCGTAGCTCCTCGACTCGAGAGCTGTACCCTGGAACGAAACGGCTGTAAAACCCGAGCAGCCCCAGCATGGCTTGCAGATCCTTCACCGTACTCGGTGCCTTCAGCTCCTGCAGACCCTGAACTCGACTGGGGTTGATCTCGATACCGTCTTTCGAGACAGAGAAGCCCAGGAAACCGATCCGCTCAACTCCAAAGTGACACTTATCTGCGTTCAGCGTCACCTGGTACTCCTCCAGCTTCTCCATCACCGTCTTCAGTCTCGCGTCGTGCTCCTCTCTGGTACGACCAGCCACGATGACGTCATCCAGATACACCTGGGTACCGGGCAGGCCTCGCAGGATCGTCTCCATCAGCTTCTGAAAACAGCTGGGTAACGACCGCATACCGTAGCAGCATCTGCGATACCGGAACACGCCCTCGTGCGTCACGAACGCCGTCAGGTTCCGCGAGTCCTCGTGCAGCATCAGCTGGTGATAGGCGGCTTTCATGTCTAGCGTCGAGAACACGGTAGCCCCCACCAACTGATCAAGCATCTCCTGCATGTCCGGCAACGGATACCCACTGGTGGAGACTGCCTCATTGACGACCCGCAGATCCACACACAATCTGATCTGACCTGACCTGCGGCGAGAAACGACGATCGGCGAGATCCAGGGTGATCCGTCTACTCTCTCGATGATCTGCTGCTCTTCCAGTTCCTGCAGATGTCGCTTCACCTCCTCCCGGATGGCGAACGGTAGCGGCCTCAGCTTCTGCTGGACCGGAACGGCGTCATCTCGCAGCTGAACCCTGTGAACAAACCCTCTGATGGGCGGCAGCACGTTCGTTGTCTCATCAACTGACCTCGGTGCGGCGTCGGCTACCGCACAGACGACTGAGCCGTCCTTCACGGAGATGTGAAGACTCCTCTGCAGATCGCGTCCGAGCAGCGCTGTGCTGCCGTCCGCCACGTACAGAGAGCTCTGACAGCTCCGGCCGTCCTCGGTCTCCACCGTCACCGCAATCACGCCTGCCACCGCCAGCCGGCTGCCTCCAAACGCCTGCAGTCGGGAGGTGGTTGGCTGCAGAGGAACGTGAGTCAGTTGCTGCTCATACACTTGTCTGGGTACGATCGACACTGCTGCTCCCGTGTCTACCAGCATGTTCATCCAACACCCAGCTATCTTCACCTTCATTTTCAGAGCGCAGTCATTCTGAGTCACAGCGAGAATGTGCACGGCATCATTTTCATCAACAGATCGCACGGGTTTTACTTTTGAGCGACATCTCACTGCAAAGTGCCCAACTGCACCACATTTCCTGCACTTCTTCCCCTTAGCAGGACAGTCATCATCAGTGGATACCAGTGTTCGCCACGGGCCGGGCCAGCCCAACGGGCCATGGGCCGGGCTGGGCTACGGGCTGGGCCGGGCCCCCAAATATCATTAGTTAACGGGCTATGGACGGGCTGGGCCAAGAGCTTTGTGCACTATGTGTTTTGCGACTAATGTCAATTTAAGAAAATTTGGAAACTGATGCAAACAAAACCCACTGGGAAAATACAAATACTAAACCAAATTTAAGCAATGTGAAAGAAAACCTACCTGATACTGAATTTTGGGAATCTTGAGAATTATCCAATATCACATCATGTCACACATAGGAGGGTTTTCATAAAAATTCCGCAACCAAAAAGATCAGAGAATCTCTAGCATCATGAGTTTGTAATAAAAGTTAAAATGTAGTCATCAGAATAACTTACTTAGCACTACAACTCCAAAAACTAAGAAGCCACTCAACAATGATGGGCTACAGGGCTACATTAAGTTTAACACTTATATATGGCGATAGTGAGACAATTCCAACACAGTCTTTTTTCCTTCACCGACGGCTTTTTAACGAACAGAACCTTAAAAGGATACTCACAAAACACACTGTAAGTAACGAGGAGCTCTACAGAGTATTTCGCGATGAAAGCTTCTTTAAATGTCCATAAATTTGTCAAAATAAATCACAACAAACCAGCCCCTTCTCAACAAAATTTGCAATCATGGCGGCGGCGCTATGTTTATGTGGCGGCATCTAGGTAGTATACACAACAGTATATCAAATAAATACGTTTTTTAAGTAAGTATCAAGGTGAAAAACAAAATTAAACAAATAAGAAATAAAACCTAAATCACGAAGTCTGAAAACTCGAACGAAAAACAAAACAAAAACTTGATCATATATGTTTTATTATACAATTGGTCAAAATTCCTACCTGCCGCAGCTGCGACAATCAAGAAGTGTTCGCTCATTTTCGATTGATGATGATGATGCGTAAAAGTCGCAAAGATACCCAATGATATTTCAAGCTTATCATGTTTTCTGCTTACGCTGCTAGCGATATCCATATCTTGAAAAGAGCCTAACATAAAATAGCAAGGAAAGTAGCAGATAGTTGTCCACAGAGATTCGGTTGACACGTGGGCATGAATTGAAAATAGATAAGATCAGTTTTGCTGATAAATGGATGGATTTTCTCTTTTTTTGGAAGACAGTGCTAAAGTTAGTGTCACCTATTTTGTATGCTTTCTCAGGCGTTTGATATTGCAGCATCTATGGAGTGAATTTAACAGCAAGGTCAATCCCAGACAGATTCATCAATGGCCATAAGTCAAGCTTTTTTTCTGCTGGTAAGTGCTGGGAAGTATAGAGTATGTGGCAAATACTTCCTTCAAGTATGCATTAGAGTCACCAATTATGAATGATAATGTTCACACACATCAGCTTGCAAGATAACTTTACTCATAGAATGTAGTTAATATAATCATGTGAACTTTTTATAGGTGTGTAATCATGACCTAATTGACTGAGGTGCTTGCTGTTACTGTTAAAATTTGTGCCATAGGTGCTTGAAATGATTATATTCATTGAAAAGAAGGGAGTCATGATTGCCATGTTAATATTCATGCAATTTGAATTGTTCTCAAAATAGTGTAATCAATCATGCTTATTATAGCAATAGACTAAGACAATAACTAGATTGCTATTTTTGACGGGCCGGGCCGGGCTGGGCTTGGAATATTTGCCAAGAGCGGGCTACGGGCTGGGCCGGGCTCTGAACCCATGGGCCCGGGCCGGGCTGGGCTGGGGATTTTGGGGCCCGTGGCGAACACTGGTGGATACGTGTCCCAGTCGCCCACATGCATAGCATGACTTGCCTTTTGTGTGCTGACCCACCGGCGCCGATGACGTCTTCCGAGTCGCGAGAGCCACCTCGACCGGCGGTGAGACTGGTGAGGCGGGGTGGTCACGCCGACTGGCTCCACCTCCCTCTCCGAACAGACGCTGTCTGTCCACGGCTCGGTCCTCCGCCAGAGCTATGGACTCGAGGCGCTGTAGTGTCAGCTGGTCCTCCACACACAAGCGATCACGCAGACGACTAGACACACATCCTTCAACAAACTGATCACGGATCATTTCATCTTCTAAAGCCCCGAAAGCACAATGTCTGCTCTGTTCCCTCAGATTCGTCAAAAATACAGTGACTGTTTCACCCGGCTTCTGACGACATCTACGGAACTTTATCCTCTCAGACATGACATCTCTAGGCTTTTCAAACAGTTGCTGGAGTAGCGAGAGACAATCTGACATCACATTACCTTGTGACTCACGCTTCACCTGCGGTGCTGTCTCCGTCCCGCTAGCTCCCGGTTCGCTCGTCCCGCTGACCTCTGTTGTCGCCGGAGGGCACGCCGTGACCCGATGTTGTGCCGCAGTGGCCGCCTCGGCCGCCACCCGGTACCGACGCCGACCCTCCTGCCCCAGGCAGTGTAACAGGAGCGCTTGCTGCCGAGCTGGATCCCACTGCGACCAGCCGATGGCTGTCGCGTACAGTTCGAAGTCTGCATACCAGGCCGACCAAGGGATGCTTGCAGTCGCTGCCGTGGCCAGAAATGGTCCCGGTGGACGAATCCCTTCCATCTTGCTGCTGGTGCCAGATCTTCTGTCACTGTTCACTGATCACTGATCACTGATCCTCGTCGCCAGAATTATGTACTGTCTCGCAGTACCTATATTTAACGAACGAATAACAATACAAAAGAATAACGTAAGCGCAGCTCCGCGCGGCTCAAGCGTCAGCGGGCGACTCCCGCTCCGCGAGCCGGTCGTACCCGGATCGTGTCACCACCAGGCGGCAGCACTGGTCCTGTGACCCGACCTCACGTGACATTACGACACCACAAGAATATGTAGTTTTAAATACGTAGTTTGACGTAGATCTCGGAAAAGTGAGATACCCCATATGCTTAACACAGAGCCGAACGGCGGCTGACAGGTGGCCGGCTCTCGGGAGATCGGCAGCCGACACTCGAAAAATCGACAACCCGCCGCTGAATGCGCGTGCGGCAGTGCTGAGCCGAGTCGTTCCCACGGTCTGGCGGCCAGCTGGGTGGGGGCGGGGTGGGGAGTGGGGCGGCCGATTGCCAGCCGCTTCTCCACGGGCAGTAGTTCCACTGGCGGCCGCCAGGCCCGTGCGGCAAGCGGGCCGTGCGCGGTAGTTCCGCCAGCGGCCGCCAGATGGATACCGCCGCGCGCGTCGTGTCTAACCTGACGAAGCTACAAAAAGTTAGATAACTTTAATAAGAGGGACGGTAAAGTCACAATTCCAACGCTGAATGTTGGGCAAAAGCAAAGGGATCCAACACAGCCATCGGTATTTACTGTATTTACCCTTTTCAGTCAGCGATAAGCCCCAGCAATCGCACCGCTGCAAAACTCGCAAGCTGTTCACCGTGCAGGGTATTGCATTATAACCACCCACCGGCTCCATCACCGTGAGTGTAATCGCTTATTAGGTAGGACGCAATTAGTAAGTGTGAAGCGATAGGTAAGTGAAACAAAATACTAAATGGAATTGAGCATAACTTAAATTGCAAACAATTCAATGAAAACAAATTAAAACGAACTGAGACCAATGGAAATTTGGAAGATCTTTGATCGTCTTAATACGTTTGATTTCTGGGGGGGGGGGGGGATGGAGTGGAAAGTTTTCCTACCCGACGAACCCGGAATTATCCCGAGGGGGTAGGGATGGGAGTCGAGTCGGGGGAACGGGGGGGGGGGGCGAGTAGAGTGGCAAGCTTTCTTACCCGACAAGTACCAAGCAAGTACCAAGTACTTTCGCAAGTACCAAGCATGTACCAAGTACTTTTACAAGGACCAAGCAAGTACCAAGTACTTATGCAAATACCAAGCAAGTACCAAGTACTTTGGCAAATACCGAGTACTTATGCAAATACCAAGCAAGTAACAAGTACTTTGGCAAGTACCGAGTACTTTGGCAAGTACCAAGCAAGTACCAAGTACTTTTGCAAGTTCAGCAAGTTTTTCGCCAATATCGAAGCTTCTAGACGTCCGATCGTCACCGGAAAAACACCATTCGATCCCAAATTTTCTCCCGAATCTTTTTATGGCCAAAGCGACGCGGAGCGAGCCAAGATATCTTGTCTCTACTATAATTAGGTGATGCTCCGACAAATTCACAAACAAGACCGAACTTGTTTGGAGTTCGGACTGTGAGTTAACCCTCGCCGGACCTATTGGTTTTCTACATACGCGCCGGCCGAGGGGGGGGGGCGGGTACGACCCCCCCCCCCTCGCCGTTTCGCCCCTGGTGGAGCTAGCGCGTCGCGGAAAAAACGAGCGTGTGCGCCGTTACGAGACGCAGAGATTGGTACCCGATTTTAAGGTCCTAGGTCAACCGGTGACCTCTGAGGTCAGGTCAAGTGCCCCAGGGTACGGTTCAGTTTTTGGTGAATAACTTCGCAAAAAACGGCCGCAGAGCCGCGATTTTGGCAGCATCGTGTTCGCCTCGCTCAGGCGCGTCGAATGATATACTTTTTATCCGGGTCAGGTCAACTTGGGGTGTTGACCTCAGGTCAAGGTCAGGTCAGCACCCCCAGGTCACGAAGTTGGTCGAAAGAGGTCATGTCGCATATCATTCGATTCGGCAGGTCTTCCTGAGTCCATTGGTGGCTTTCTCGACTCGCTAGCTCAATTTGATCAAGAGTTATTGACGAAAAACTAATATGACCTTGATGACGTCATAAATGACGTCACGCAAGGTCAACATTGCAAAAGTGACGCATCTAACCTTGCAAGGAGTGCATCAAATCACGATTCTGTGTGCTTGAGATAGTTGGAGATCGTTCCCGGCGCCAGAATAGCAGTTTTCATTTTTCCCCATTGACTTATAATGGTGAGGTCACGAAAATGACCTGACCTCATATGACCTTTAGGAAAAATCCGAGATATACAAGTTGTGAGACTCATAATGGATACTAGATCCTGCAAGTTTCATTTCCCTGTGACATCTCCTCTGGCAGTGAGGGCGTTGCGAAGTTGCGACATCTGAAGACCGTGCAGAGGTTCACTTATGACGTCATAGGTCAGTGACCTGACCTGACCCAAAAATGCGGTTGGTGTCAAAAGATGCGGCTTGGATCAAAGGTCAGGTATGCCAAGTTTCAGCTTTCTATCGCCAGCGTGTTCGGAGCTATCGCGAAAAAACCCTATGGGGGGGGGGCGGCACCCGCCCCCCCCCCCCCTCGGCCGGCGAGGGTTAACCCTCGCCCTTTGGGGGGGGGGGGTCGAACGGACTCCCCTCGGTTTTTCGCGAATAACTCGCGTAAAAAGCGGCCGATCAAGACGTAACTTTTAGTACCCTCGCGTTGATCAATTTTACACCTACCCTGAAAATTTCATGACCCTGACGCAAATAACCTTTGACCTGTGACCTACTTTTCGAGACCATGTTTGGCCGGAACCGCGATTCAGCGTATGTCGGCTCGCATTAGCAGCGCGTTTGCAGTCTTTTCGTGGTTTCAAGCGTTCAAACATGTGATATGATGTTGCCCCCATGCATTAGGGTGGGTATCAAGGTCACCTGAAGGTCAGGTCAGGTCATTGACCTTTGGTGACCTCGGTTCACTTTTTCGAGTTTGACATGTTTCTAGGCCAGTTTTTCGAGCTGAATTCGAATTTAGCAACCACATGAACGTTTACAAAGTAGTTTTGGTGCCTTCGTAACATGTTACGAGGCTCTCAGAGGCGGTTGCCACCTACTACAAATACCCGGCAGGACCTCTACTGGTTGACCTGACCTGACCTGACCCGACCTGGCCTAAATGAATGAAGACATCATCTGTGATCAAAACTAGCATGATATTCGTGATCAGCACCCCGAAAAACCCCATAGCAGCCACACTACGACGTTCTAACAGGTTCCAATTTTCCCGCCTTTTGGGTCATTGACCTGACCTGGAAGGTCAAGCGATGACCTAGGACCTTAAAATTGGGTATCATCGGCTTCCTCTCGTCACGGGCAACACGCTCGTTTTTTCCGCGAAGCTCTAGCTTGATCAGGAGCGAAACGGCAAGGGGTTATACCTTATACGTTCGCGGCTGGAAAAACACCAATACGGGCGAGGGTCAAGTTGAAAGTTCTTGGAGGTAAGCTATGGTATTTCTGAGCATGATTAATAATGCAAATAGAGTGAATAACCTTATGCTCATGTTATATGTTGCAAATTGATATAATTAAAACTAAATTGATATATTTCGATATTGCACCGTCATCAGAATACTCGAGGGCAGCGCTTTTCGAGGAGCGCTGTGGCCCGAAGGTTTGAACTTTGAATTGTGAAAAACGCCCGCCCGCCGCGAAACGCAAACACCGCAAAACGCGCAAAACGCACGCCCGAAACGCCAACGCAAAGGCCGCAAAAAATAAACAAACGCCCGCCCGCCGCAAACCGCAAATAAAAAAAACGCAAAAACGCCGCAAAACAATAAAACCGCCCGCATCGCACGCCCGCTAACCGCCAACCGAAAACGCCTAAAAATCGCCCGCCCGCCGCCAAAAAAAAAACACCGCAAAAAACGAAAAAGCGGCCGCCAACCGCAAATTTAACACCGCAAACGACGCAAAAAAAAGAAAACCGCCCGCATCGCCCGCCCGCCCGCCCGCCGCAAAACGTAAACACCGCAAAACGCGTAAAACGCACGCCCGAAAAGCCAACGCAAACGGCAAAAAAATCGCCCGACCGCCGCAAACCACACAGAAAAAAAACGCCGAAACGCCGAAAAAATAAAACCGCCCGCACCGTACAGACGCTAACTGCTAACCAAAAACGACTAAAAGTCGCCCGCGCCGCCAAACGCAAACACCGCAAATAAGCGCCCGGCCGCAGCAAGATAATAATTTGTCAACGACTGGCTTACCTCTAGGCTGGTCATTTTCACAAATCAAAAAGATATCTGCAAAAATCTCCTAGATGAAAGCGCCCGATTAAAAAACGGATGGCACGTGCGTGTTCCTCGCCCCCAACTTTCTTCAGGTCAATCGTCATTTGGGTCACCTAACGCATTGACGACCGGCTGGGTGGAATGAACATTGCGCCAAGAAACGCAAGTATATTGTCAAAAAGAATCCCCAGAATGGTGGATCCCAAAAGTTTGAAACTACCACTTTGGCCCACTGGACGACACCTTAAACAGTTGCCGACCGGATGACACCCATTGTTTGGTCACCCACGCCATAGTATGCATCATGGGTGCGCCGAAATGACCAAAAGTCCCAATTTCCGGTGTGCAGGGTCATTTTCAACGGCACGTGGCACGTGGTTCTGGACTTTTCCGGCCACTTTGCGACATACCCATGGGTAGTGCACCGAATGGTGGTTGATCTGCATGGAAGAAAATGGGGGGTCGTTTGGATCGTTTTCGAGCAATCTGCCGTGGAACGCATTTTTTCATTTTGCCCATTGGCTTAACACGGGAATTTTCAAAGTCACGTGGCACGTGCACCAGATGGTCCGCGGAGGGGAGACCCATACCAGAACGTAGATCACCTGGCCCACTAGAAATCCTGAAAAAATCAGAATTTTTGGAGCAGCCGTTTTCAAGAGCATCAAGTTGTACTGATCTCAGGCAGCTTTTGCCAAATTGTCAGGGAACTCAGATTTGTTTTTCAATAGAAAAACACAATTCTAAAGAATAGTGTTTTAACTATTGACAACAAACCTTCGGTTAAGAATAGCAATTAAGCAGCGAAACAAAGCCGATTCAAACGGAATACAAAACGTGCATCTTTTGATATGGTTCTCGTTGGATAAGGTCGATCAGTACGTACAATCATTCAGGTGCGTGTCAACATTTGCACATTATACATGG